CAGGCCAGCCGGGGGTGGGGGGGGTGGGGGGTGGGGAGGAGAGAGCCATCTGGAAGGGAGAAGCACAGGATGTCAGGCATCCCGGGGGACTGGGAAAGAAGGGAGGGCTTGTGTTCCAAACAGAAGACAGACACTTGGAGGGCTGTGGTCACAGGCTGAGCCATAGGGTGGAGATAGAGAGCTGCCTGCAGGTGAGGTCCCTGTCCTGCCTCAACACTAGGGGGCCCCTGTCTTGGTCCTGACCCTGCAGTAGAGGTTGCTGGTATGTTTTCTGGTCAGGCATCAATGGATATTGGATGTGGGGTCACTTGTATACCACGTAAAGGAAATCTGGGGAGCTATTCTCAGAGTGTGTGTATGTGGGTCAGATCAAGTATGCAACTTGCAGGAGTGTGTGCATGTATGTGCAAGTGAATGTGGGTGTGAATTTTGTGCTCATTGCACTCATGTATGATGGGGTGTTGTGAGCGCCTCTGCACATGTGAGCCCATGTGTGGAGTGCATGTATACATGCCTTGCTTGGGTGTGGCTGTGCATGTATCGTGTGCGTATCTAGGTACCATATGTGAGCACGTGCTTGTTACTTCTCCTGCCCTTTGGGTGTTGTCGTCTGTGTCTCTTGAGGTTCTAACCCTAATGGCTCCTGGGCCACAGCACTGGGTTGGTGGTGGATCTTGGGACCAGAATACTTTTGCTCTCTGTCTCCGTGGTGAGCCTGATGTTTTGGGGCAGTGGCCACCAGGGGTCACTGTTGCTGCTTAGTCCTCATGGCCCCGTGCGACGGAGGAGTTTCAAAATCTACCTGAAGGGATTAAGTGCTTGTCCTCCGTGGCCTGATGGGCTCACTGTGCGTGGCAGGAATGGATGGGCTCATGCCACATGTTCACACTTGGGAGGATGGTGTGCATGTGAGAAGCATGCGGAAGTACATGCACTGAGCATATGCCTGCGAGTGGGGCTGAGGGGCCATGGGCAGCCTGCAGACCCACAGAGGGCAGAGAGGGGCTGGAGCATCGGTCCCACATGGGGGCTTTGTTTGTCCACATGTGGTGGGCTGCCATCTGAGGTGATGTTTGCAACACACCTTCTGCTCACGGGGATGGCGTCCTAACTGGGGAGTGCCAACTAATGCAAAGGGATGATCAAGATAAATTCTGTTTTACAACACTCTTTAAAAATTCAGCTAAGAAGTCAGTATTTTTCCTTTCAAGTAGGAAAAACTGACCCCCGGTTCTGGACCCCGTCAGTGAAACCTCTCATTTTAAATGAGGCTTCTGCTTCTGGTGCTGCTCCAGGTATGCTGTAGTCACTGAACCAGAGGTGTACCAGCCCGTGGTACTCTGGTGCCCCTTCCCTTTCTGTCTGCAGTGTTGTCTAAGGCTGTGGGGTCTCCTGCTCTACCCAGTAAGGGGCAGGGCTCTTCTAGAATTCTAGGACCCAGGGACACCCCAGTCACCACAGTGCAGGCAGATTCCTACAGAGCAGCCTGAGGGTGGAGGCCTGTGTGGCAGTGTTTGTGGCATCTCAGGCTTCCCACTGAGTAAGACAGTCGGGGTCAGAGGCTGTGGGGGTGCTTGGGCATGCCTGTCCACATTTACGCATGCACACACATGTATACATGTTATGCCTTTTTTTGTGCACATATGAGTATGCCTGTGAGTGCATATGTGTACCTCTACACATGTGCACACTAATCTGTGTTTATAGATACATGGGTGCACAAGGATTGTTGGGCGATAATATTGATACCTGACGGGCAGATGGGAGAACGCACGATCTCACTCCTCTTCTCTCAGATGAGAGAGAATCTCTTCTCATCCCCATGGCATTCATGATCCTGTGAACTTCATGTCTCTGGGGGAGGCTCGGACCCAGGACCCTCACAAGATGTCTGTTCTTGAAGAAGACCTGAATCCTTGGCCAAGGCTCCACTGCCTTGTTACATGGAACGGTGCAAATCAGAGACATAGAGAAGCATCAGAGAATCAAAGCAGATGAGTACTGATGAGGAGATTCAGTCCTGGAGGGGGCTGGGCACTGAGGCTTGCACTGGGGATGGGCTCCATATGGGGCAGCCTATAAGGCTCTGCATTCTGGGTGGTTTTGGGGTAAATACACAGTCCTTGGCCAGGGGACAATGCTGGGCTGGCACTAGGGGTAGAGTCAGCTTACACAATGGGTGGGGACTCACCTGGATTTGTGGGGACTCTGATTCCCCTGTTGCCAGGGCCCAACACCTGCGCCGCCCACGTCTCAGCTCATAGCTCCTGGCGCCTCACTGTGGAAGTGCTCCTGGTTCAGGTTCCCTACTTCAGAAGTCTTTTCTTGCTTAACTATTTTCTTATACACTCTAGGGACTAAGAAATCAGTGGCTACTTCTATTTTAACCTTCAAGTCATTAAGCACATCATTACCTAACACTATTTTTAAAAGCACAAGCAATATTATATATGTATTTAATGTATTCTATATATGTGTTTAAAAGAAAGGTTTCAAGGAAATCTAATAGATATTATTCTGACAATATATTTACAACATTGTTTACAACAAATCAAATTTAAAAAATAATGTCATTATACCTGAGAAAAGAAATAAGTACCTGGAAAATTCTAAAATAGATAGGAAGTGTCTCTGGCCTTTTTTCCTTATGAAAATCTGAAGAATTTTGAGTTTCAATAGGATGCTTCCTCCCTATGTCTTTGGGGGTGTTCAGTTCCCCACAGACAGATTCTCCTGTATTTGCCACCAAGCTCTAATTGCCCACTTCCAGGGAGCATCTGGAGGCCAAGTGCCCCTCTCCACCCCCTCTGGTGGCCACTTTAGCTGTGGGATCCCAGCTGGCACCGCTTCTGGGCTGGATGAGCACAGATGCCTGGGCCACACTGATGCCAAAGCGCTAGGTGTTTGCCGGCCTGGCCAGAAGCCGAGGTAAGGGACTGAGCTGCCCTGCCTGTAGAATGTCTGCAGATTCCCTGACTCCAGCCTCAGAAAGGGAATCTTTAGGGTTCATCAAGACAGAAAGGGGTTATTCGGCGGAAATTTCAAGTACATACTGAAAGAGATAGAGTACAGGAGAAAGAGAGAGATGGACACAGAGACAGAGAGAGACAGACTTATTCTTGTTTTGAGAGGTGGAAACCCCAGAAAAGGGTGGCCCATCCTTCACAAGGATCTTGGCTCATTTTGCACGTATAGGTCCGGTTGTTGCTGTTCTTAAGATGGGTAATAGAAGCATTCTTTGAATTGTCTTAACCTATCCCTTTACCTTAGGGTCAGATTCCTTCTTTCTCATTAAAGCCAGTTTAATTCAGTACAGTACAGTATTTCAGTATTACTGAGTACGGTACAGAATTACTGAGGAATTTGGGGCTTGATTGGCTGGAAGGAAGGAGTCTAATTTAATCAAAGGAAGCTGATATGGACACCAGGTCATGGAAATCCCAGTCTCCTTTAAAGCATAGATTTTGGTTTTGATCTGCTTGTCTCCTTTCTACCCAGCTTTTACGTCTTCTATCCTGCTGGCTGCTCAGAGCCCTTGTGTCCTGAAGCAGGGCTGGGATGCTGGATGGGGGGCTGGCCCGGGATTTGGGGAGCCACTGGCCAGGCCCCAGCCTGGAAATTGCAGAACCCAATTCCATTTCTTCTCCTGGCTTCCTGGCCTCTGCCCTCATCTGCAAATGGGCTGGGCCTTCTGCTTCTTAGTGCTCCTGAATCCTGCCACACCTTTCCCTTTTTAGCTGTGTTTTTGCACTGCTGGGCTTTTTCTCTCTTGCCCCTTCCTATCCCCACGCCGCAACACAGTAATACCATTCTCAGTATTTGATGAGGAAAAGTGGGACATACTCTCTGTGGTCCTTGCACTGGGAGGTGTGTGAGGCCCTGTGTCCTCAGGAGGAACTGCCCTGCTGGGAGCCATTCTGGCCACAGCATGGATTGGGGGCCATGTGGAGACCTGCCGAGGAGGGGCAGCAGTAGAAGGCTGTGTGTTCCCGGCTCTGTGGCCTGCTCCACACAGCTGGGCCCGCTCTGTGTCTCCGGTTTGCAAAGTCCCATAGAAATCACAAGGCGCTCACCACTGAGAGCTGTTTTCCTCTAACCACACTGTGTAGTGAGCACGTATGCAGTATCATCGGACCGCCTTTCTGAGCAGCCTGGCAGCCAGGCTGAGTCTGCTAATTACACTTGTTGCGTTTGAATGGCTTTCTCAGCCACACGGGCGGTGAAACTGTTGTGAACAATGAAAGAAACCATTTCCCTTTGTGGCCTGGGTCTGCAGATGGCTGCCATGTATGGGAAGCACTAGGCCCTGAATTAGTCCTTTGTGTGAGCCAGAGAAGGAAATTTGAATGTTTGAAGCCCCCCACGAAGCTCATCTCAAAGTGCACAGCTCCTGAATGAAGACTAATTGGGGCCCACATCGTTAGGGGGTGTGGTTTGGGGGGACGTGAACAGCGGGGGCTGTCACTGCAGACACTAGGAGAGAGCTAACTCAGCAGGGTGATTGTGGCCACCTCTGTGTCCCTGCTTCCTGGTCATCAGAGCAGGCTGTTGGCTCAGGGTGTCCCGGTTGCTCCTTAAGGCCTCTGCAAGTTCGTATTCATGTTTCTTACTGTCTGTGCTCCTTCTGCAGAGGGACCCCATGTGTTAGTGATTTCTCGGACCCAGCTGGCAGCCGCAGTCTCACATCAAATGTGTACAGTGTGGGGAGGGGCTGGGAAGGCCGAGTGAAAACGGTCAGCGGTGTGGGCTGCACCCCAATATCTGAACCCAGGCACTGGAGGCCAGGGCAACTTCAAACCATGCTGGCGCCACTAGTTACCTTCCCTCTGACTTCCACACTGGTGTTTCCCATGATACTTGGTTCTTTCTCGTGGCTCTTGGCTTCTGAAGCGTGCTGTCCCATGACCACTGTGCGGTGTGCAGTTAGAATGCACGTGGAGCTTTCTGCCCTCTGAAGCCCAAACATCAAGTCTGTCTCTCTTGCCTTTCTCTTCCCACAGATGGCATGTTTGGAAGGTGCCAGAAGATCCCGCCCCTGGACACATCAGGCTATGAAGTGTCGCCCGCGGCCCTGCAGCATCTGAGGGTCACCTTGCAGGCACTTTCTCACTCAGGTAGGGCCTACCAGCACCCGTGAGGCCCAGGGGTGAGGAAATGGGGACCTCCTGAGCCAGGGCCTGGTGCCTAGAAAGGCCAGAGTCTACACCAGGGAGGTTCCCTGGGTTCTCCTGTCTGTGTACCATAGGTGGGAATCCTAGGAGGTGAAGGACAGGCCCTGAGGCCTCTACAGAGAAGTGGACTGGCAGGGAATTTGGGTCCAGACACATCCCCGCCTGACTGACCAGATGAGGCACAGTCAGTGCTGGCTTAAGGCCCTGTGCAGTGCCATGTTCTGTGGCTTGGTGGCAGAAAGTTCTTGTCCCGTTTCCTTCACAAGGGTGCTAAGATCGTTTTAAAAATCAGTCATTTTAAAGATGTACATTATCACACTGCACACACAGTATCTATTGTTCCTGATTTAACTTACTCTATGTGTGATTTTTACACAGAGGGCAGCCACTGTGAGATCACACCCTCACGATCTACTCCCTAGATGGTCATGTCTCTGCTCACCCCTGATGAGAGCCAGGCTGTGGTCACACACAGTGCCAATGCTCAGAGTGGCACAGGGCAAACCCCTGTGTCTCATGGTCAGGACTTAGTCATCGATCACGTGAGGTAGCAGGGCAGACATGGAGCCAGTGACTCTGTGACTCGCAGCCAGAGCTCCAACTGGCACTGAGGGTCACTGCACTCAAGGGGCAGTGTGCTGCCGCATGGAGAAGCTGGTGGCCTGAGGGATGGGGGTGCCCTCTACCCGTTCTGCAGCACTTCCAGGGTGCTGGCTTACCCAAACCTTGGGGAGCTCTGCTGATGGGGTGTGTCACTCACCGATCCAGTTTCCTAGTGGCCTCTCACTCTCTCCCACAGTGCAGCCTATCAGGTCTGTCCAGAGTTGCAGGACCATGACGAGCCCATGGCAGAGGCTGGGCAGGAGATGTCAGCAAGCTGACACCCAGACAGATAGCTGTGGCCCTGTGTGTGACCTTGACATGGTGGAGAGGGTCAGGGTAGTAAGGGCAGCGAGGGTCTACAGCTGCCTCCCTGGGGCTGCTCTGCTGATGGTCACCTGCTGGCTGATTGATTTCCTTTCCATGCCTTGTAACTGAAATCATGAATATGAAGCTAACTTCATGAATATTACAAAGATGATATCAACACACTGCAGCTGAGATGTAAGGGGGCGAGAGAAAGGGATGAAGTGAAAACATGCCCCAACATGTCCAGGCGTGCATTCCGACCCACACAGGGATGGCCAGCCCAGCTCCAGCCTCGTCTGGCTGCTGTCAACTCATTTCTTCCCCACCTGCCACACATAATCTCCATCTTCTCCAGGGGCCCAGGGGTGACCCTCTGTCCTTCCTAGTTGTGCAAGGCTATCCCCAGACTGTGTGGACATGTGCTTATACATCTTCATTACCCGTGGTCATGGGACATGGGGTACAGAGATTGTGCATATCTGACTTAATTCTCCTAACTCCAACTGGGTAGTAGCAATGTACTGTCCCCTGATGGAAGCACTCTTCTTTCTGGAACCAACTTCTAGGCCCACTGAGCTTAAATTCTTGGGGACAGGAAGTAGAAATTTTGTTAGCAAGTAACTTGGGGTACTGATGACTGGGTCCACCCCTTGGTTCTTGGGCTGGTGAATCCTGGCTGGGGGACAGAGTACCATGCATTGGTTGCCCATTCAGAGCACACCGGTTTCCTGGGCCTGCAAGGTGCTGAGAGGTGTGTCTTCCAAAGGCCTCCCGGTGTCCTGTCAACCAGAGGCTCAGGTGGCAGGAGCAGGGCAGGGTGCTCAAGCGTGCGATGTGCTTGCACTTCTCGGGCCAGAACTGAGTGCATGGCCAGCAGCCCATGCTGCGTGGAGTAGCATAACAGTGCGTGGACTGAAACCATAGCCAGCACAAACCTTTCCTCCCGGTGAGCTGAGAGTTAGACATTGTCACAGAATGACGTCACAGTGACAGAAAGTTTTCTAGCATACTACCCTGCCTGAGCCCCTGACAGTACCAATCTTTTTCTGTCTCTAGAGTTTTGCCTTTTCCAGGAAGTCGTATAGTTGGCATCAACCTGGCTTCTTTCAGTTGGTGACATGCATCTAAGTTTCCTCCATGTCTCCCATGGCTTAGGACTTACACAGTTCCATGGCTTGGGTGTTCCAGAGTCTATTATTCATTTACCTACTGAAGGAGGATACTTTATTTGTTTCCAAGTTGCAGCAGCCATGAATAAAGCTGCCATAACCTTGGTGTGCAGGTATTTGAGAGGACACGAGCTTTCCACTCATGTAAGTATGAGGTCCTGTGCACATGGTAGCAGCCTGCTTCCTGCACAGGAAGCTGCACTCTGGCTTCTGAGGTGGATGTGGAGGCCTAGGTCAGTCACTTAGGCTCAGTGAGTCACTGAACTTCTTGGACACTTGTCAGCTGTCAATCAAACAGCTGCTGTCAGACAAATGAAATAGAATATTTAAGACATTTTATAAATACCAGTATTTTCAAACATTAAATATTGCTTATTTTGATGCTCCTAAATTATGGTAGCTGTTACACAGATCATTTGCACTTACTGATTTTAAGTGGGATATAGCAATGTTTTGTTTTGTGCGCTGGTTATTTTTGTGTATAACATCAGTTAGCATGGGTAAGGGGATGCTCCAGTTCTCCCCTGAGATGACAGTGCCAAGGAGGATGGTGGCACACTCTTGTGAGTTGGCTTACTGACAGATGTTCGTCTCATGAAACTGCTTCATAGGGGTAAAACGTGCCACCAGCCCTCTCACGCCCAGGCACTTACTGATCTGGCAGGACTCAGGGCTGGGCTTGGGAGTATGCAAGGTTCTTTCACCATCACCGTCTGGGCGCTGAGGACTTAACAGCAGTCAGACTCAGGGAGAAACCCCAGGAACGAAGGGACCATGTTTCCTGCTGTGGTCACTTTCCAGGTCAGTGGCGCTGTGGCTCCCATCATCTATTCCTTCAGGCCTGTGCAGAGGGAGGTCTTGGGGGCTGCAGATCTTTCCAGAAAGAGGACTTGGGGAGGAAGTGAGGGTAGCATGAGCCCCAAGGGAATGGAGCAGGTCACGTGTTGGGCAGCTCGGTGAGGTGGCACAGGGAGGACTGTCTCTTTTCTCTCAGAGAAAGACACCTCTTTGAGAGGGGACTAGGTACACTTTGCAAGTGCATGGAACCCAAAGCTACATTGAGTCACACAAGGCTAAAGGGTTAGGGAGCCTGTTTTTTGTGTTACTGTTATTCAGTTATTTTTACCGTAAACCCATTTGTGAGTCGAACCACCTTCACAGCATGATCGTTGGTCCTAGGTGGCACTGTGATTGGGGGCTGCCTGGATGGTGGTGGGGTGTCATTGCTGTGTGTGTCTGTGAGGGGTTTCTGGAGGAGGCTGGTGTGGGAGGCTGAGGGCTGTGTGTGGGGACCTGGCCCCCTAGAGCACAAAGCAGGGCGTGGTCTTTTTTTCTTTCTCTTAGTGTGGGGCACTCCTCCTGCTCTGGACACAGAACCGCCAGCTCTGGCACTGGCACTGGCACTGGCACTGGCACTCAGGATTTCACAGTGACCTCAGTACTTCTTCTTTAGCTTTAGCTGAGCATGGTATCAGCCTTGGTTCTGAAGCTGCTAGAGCTGGACTGAGGCAGGCCTCCAGCGTCCCCAGGGCTCCAGCCTCAGATGGCCTGTCGCTGATTTCTCAGCTTCGTAATCCAGAGAGTCAGTTTCCCTCCTTGCCTCCTGCCTCCCTCTCCACCCCTCTCTGCCTCCCCTATCTCTCCTTCCATCTCTCCTTTCTGCTTTCTTTCCTTCCCTTATTGTTTCCCTCCCTCTCTCCATCTCTCCCAATGGCTTATCTCTCTAGAGGACCCTGACTAATACACATAGTTTTAGGAATAGCCTCTTTGTATGACTCTTACTTCTTAAAATTATAAACTGTAACTACTGAATTCTCTAAGAACTTTAGAGAAAACCTAACACCAATGCTCCTCAAATTCCTCAGTAAAACTGAAATAAAGCAACACTCTCAAAGGCATTCCTGAAAGCAAGCATTACCCTGAATTCAAAACCAGAGAAGGACTCAACCAAACAGAACTACCACTGATATTAATGAACATAGATGCAAAAATCCTCAAAGATACTGGCAAACAGAATCCAACAAATCAACAAAACGTTCATACATCATGATTAAGTAGATTTATTCTAGGAATGCAGGGATGGCTCAACACATGCAAATTAATAAATGTAATACGTCTCATAAACAGAAGCAAGGGAAAAAATCACACGATCTTCTCAGTAGATGCAGAAAAAGCATTTGACAAGATCCAACACCCATTCATGATAAAAATCCTGAATAAAATGGGTTTAGAAGGTCTTTATCTCAATCTGATAAGAGTTATCTGTACCCATCCAATGGATAACATCATACTAAAATGGAGAGAAGCTGAAAGCTTTGCCTCTAAAATCAGGAAAGAGACAAAGATGTCTGTTATCACCACAACTGTTCAATATAGTCCTTGAAACATTAGCCAGAGCAGTTCGACAAGAGGAAGAAATAAAAGGGATACTGTGAATATTAACTTTTGTGTCAGTTTGAGTAAGAGCCACCAAATGATTGGCTCAGCATAGCTCTGGGTATGGCTGAGGGGATTCAATGAAGACAGAAGACCTGCCCTGGGTGTGAGTAACAGCAACCAATTGGTTTGTAGTATGGATGGAGTAAAAAAGAAACATTTTGTTTCTTCAGAAGAGATTCAGTCTTTGCCTTCCCCTTTGGAAGTCATCTCCTGGCTTCCAGAGGAGACCTCTGCCTTCCAACGTGGACTCACATAGGATGCTTCAGTGAGCTCCAGGCTTTGAGCTTTGACTAGATCCTGTGGGTGTCCGGTTCACAGTCAGCTCTTCTGCACCCTTCCACATCTGACTCTGCAGGCAGCCATTGCAAGCCTTCCTTGTATGTCCTTATGCATTTATATGCCTTCTAGTAAATAGATTTCTCTAGT